AAAAGGACAATTTGAATTGGTTCTTTCTTTGTGTATATTTATTGTGAAAATTTTAGTTCTAGAAAGATAAATGAGTCAGTTTTTTTTCCCGAGTCCATGCAGATAAGGCTTTCTATTTGAAATATTTCTATAATATTGTGCCCCATATTTGGATATTTCTTGTGTATTTTCTAGAGGAAAATTAGTAAAATATTAAGGTATCTTTTAAAAATAAATTAGGGGGCTGGAGAGAAGGCTCATCAGTTAAGAGCCCTGACTTCTCTTCCAGAGAACCTGGGTTCAATTCTCAGTACCCACAAGAAGGCTCACACCTGTGTGTAACTCCAGTTCTAGGACTTTGGGAATTCTCACTCAGACATACATGTAGGCAAAACACCAATGAACATTAAATTTAAAATATTACATATAAATTTTTATATATAGATAAAAGAAAAAGAGTTAGGAGTGCAGAGAAAACAAAATAAAACATTTAATTATATTCCACACCCAGACTGAAAATTCAACAGAAATCTGGACTTAGGACTGGAGTAAAACTACACATAAATGCACTCGCAATCACTGGTCTGTGAGCTAAGTTTGTCCTTTCTGAGCTGCTGCTGAAATACTAGTAAGAAAGCTGTTGTAGTTCCCTATCTAAACCTCACTTCATTTTCTGTTTGGTTTTCACCTTTTCTGACTTTAAAGGTCAATTACTGTTACAAATAAAGAATAAATGTGGGAAACAGTAAAAGAGATGTAGACAAGATCTCTCTCTCTCTCTCTCTCTCTCTCTCTCTCTCTCTCTCTCTCACACACACCACACACACACACACACACACACACACCCACTGGGGTGGGCAGGAAGAGGAGAACAAAGCTGCTGTTCTGAGTGACTTCTGAGTCCAAGCCCAGGAAGCCAAAGGGCTTTTTTTTTTTTTTTTTTTTTTTTTTTTTTTTTTAAAAAATTTAATCCAGGAACTTGGTTAGTCTATGTGACACGTTTGGTCTTTCAAGGGTCTTCATTGTTTGTCATGGTGATAAGTTGTTGCAAAGATATTGTTTGCAAAGTAGTCCATGTAGTGTAGTCCATGTAGTGTGGTGACAGTGGCCTCTGCTATCCAGTCTGTTTAGCCTGACTTGTGTGTGGTGTGGAGATGTGTGGTGTCGATGATCCAGAATTGCTCACATGGAAAATTTTCCTTTTTCTAGATTCTCGCCCGATGGAAGATTAATCGTGTCATGCAGCGAGGATAAAACTATTAAAATTTGGGATACTGCAAGTAAGCAGTGTGTTAATAACTTCTCAGATTCTGTAGGGTAAGTTCATTCTCTTTGTATGGTTCTATGTATCTGCTTGCTAAGGAGATAACCCTATTATAAACAATTCAAACTTTAAAATGAAGGGAAAGAAATTGAAATGTCAAG